GGACTGTTTCTTTACGCAGCTGTGTTGCGTACGAAATTGGCCTCATAGCGATCATGCTTCTCATCGTAACTATCATTCGCTTACCCAAGGTCACGATGGCGTATGATTGGATATTTTGAACCGTGCCCTCCCTCTGGAACAGAGATCGAAGAACTTTTTCACGTATTACCGCAAAATATATTTTTTTACGCCGACGTTAGCCCCTTGATTTGAAAGGGCGAAAATCATCGACTATTTCGATTCAGAAGGTTTATTGTATCTGTTTATATGGAAAACACAATTACAAATATACAAATATATAAATAAATGCGATAAATAAATTAATGTCCTCATCATGAAACAAAAGGATTTCTTTTGAAACTTTCACTTAACGTTTTGGAGGAATGATGTTGTTTCATTTTTGATACAATAACATCAAAATTGGGGCATTTTGATGTCAGAGCAAATCGGATACTGCCCAGACAATTTCCTCAGCGACCGTTGTTACGGATGGTTATATGCGAATCTACGAACTCTGCCGGCTTTTAACGTTTTTTGAAGTTCTTTTAAATTTACAATAATTTAATTGGTAAAAGTGGCACTAAGACACGTGCTCAAAATGAAGGCAGTATTTAATTATTTTAGTGACCGTCGAAAATTAATCGAGCAAGGAGAAAATATATTAATCAAATTATCAAATTACCATACAACTAAAATATGGTTAATAAATGAAAATCTTTGACTTAAAACAGAACTGTTGAAATAGATTAAATTAAATAACTGCTTAAATCGACTTAAAGCAAAAATACATGTTAAAAATAAGCTTTAAGTGGGTAACAGACAACTGAAAAATAATATCTGTTCAACCACTTGGCAGCGCGTTAGCAACCAAATTGTTTGGAGTTCAGCATGGTATGGCGCATGACGTCTCCTAAACACGACTGTTACACTGGCCATATGCAGTGTTGCCAGAAAAAGAATTTTTGTTGTAACAAGGAACGCGCTTTGTATTTAATTTTATGACTGTTGTGTCCTCAGTACCCCCAAGAATTTCATTTTTACCCCACTTGGGGTAATAATTACCCCGGGTCGCCGACGTCTGCTCTAGAATGTGGCCTTCGTCATCGCGAGGTTGGTACTGTTTGGAGGAAAGAATTGAAAACAACGTTTAAATATGAATTATGGTAATGTGTCAGGAATCGTCTCAGCATTTGTCGTCATGATTGTGTTCTACATCACCTTCATACATGACGAGATCATTATGATTATGTGTTATTATTAATATGCTGTGAGATCATCATTACCTAATCACTTGGTCGAACTCTCCGAGTTTGTGATATTCTTCTTGTCCGGACTGCATCTGCTGATGCAGTTCATCAACTGCTTGAACACCAGATAACACTGTGAAAATCATAGCATTTTTTGCGGTCAGAAACATGCAAGCAGTCAGAAGTATTCGACACTCTCCAGCGGTTGATCGCCCGCACCATGTCCCTGAAGCACGT